TGCCACCCATATTCAGTAGACCAGCAATCACACCTGCACCTGTCTTTAGTTCTTGGACAAAGACCAGCACCACCGTTCCAACTCTGATCATTTCCTCTGGTGAACCAGATACAAGAGTCCCTTTGATCACCCATCCTGCAAATACCAGCCCAATTTTGCCCAAAACAACTCCCAATGTTTTCCATACTGAATCAGATAGCACACCCTTGATGGCCACCAGTCCTGGGACAGAAACCAGTTCAACTGTTGTAGCTACAACTGTCCAACCTGTTGTATCAGAGGTGGTGACTTCACAGGCTACTAGTTCTGGGGCAGAGACCAGCACAACTTTTCCAACTTTGACAATTTCCCCAAATCAACTGGAGACCACAGCCTCATGGGTCACCCAGTTTGAAACAGAAACCAGGTCAGCAGTTCCAACTCTGATTGTGTCCCCTGGTGAGCCAGATGCAACAGTTACCATGGTCACCCATCCTTCAGACACCAGCCCAATTGTTTCCCAAACGACTTTCAATTTTTCCCATACTGAATTAGACAGCACAATCTCAATGGCCACCATTCCTGGGGCAGAATCCAGTTCAACTGTTCCAGCTACAACTGTACAACCTGTTGTACCAGAGGTGGTGACCTCACAGGCTACTAGTTCTGGGGCAGAGCCCAGCACAATTTTTCCAACTTTGACAATTTCCCCAGATCAACTGGAGACCACACCCTCATGGATCACCCATTATGGGACAGAAGTCAGGTCAGCTGTTCCAACTCGGACTGATTCCTCTGGTGAGCCACATACAACAGTCTTATTTGTCACCCATCCTACAGAGACCAGCCCAACAATGTCCAAGACAACCCCCAGTGTTTCCCCTAGTGAATCAGAATCCACACTCACAGTGGCCACCGACTCTGGGACAGAAACCAGTTCAGCTCTTCCAACTCTGACTGTCTGTCCTGGTCTACCAGATAAGGTGACCTCACAGGTCACTATTTCTGAAACAGATGACAGCACAGTTGTTCCAACTCTGACTCTTACTGCTGGTGAACCAGAGACTACAGCCTTATTGACCACCCACCCCAGTGCAGAGACAAGCATAAATTTTCTTGCTTCAACTATTTTTCCTCATTTACCAGATACCACAGCCTCACTATCCATCCAACCTGGGATGGACCTCAGCACAACTATTTCAACTTCAACTCTTTTCCATGGTTCACCGGACACCACAAGCTTACTGGCCACCAGTCCTGCATCTGAGGCCAGTACAGGTCTTCCAACTCTGACTGTTTCCTCTGTTGTTCTTGGGCCTGCCAGTACCCCTGCAACCACAGGTGAGCCTTATACTGTAGCTTCCTGGAGCACACTAACCTCGCCACCTGCAACCTCAGTTGGTTTTCCAGAATTTTCCGACACTGTGACTAGGGGCACTGTGACCTTGACTGCAGCTGAAAGCAGCCCAGGAGGATTAAGTCCAACCACTATCCTGAAAACTACAACTCTTGCAGCCACTAAGTCAGCTGCCACAGGTTCAGACCGCACTGTGGCTGAGACTACAGCCACTTTCAGTACACTGTCTGAAAGTTCCTTTGTCCCTGTGACCACACCTGAGACGTCCACCGAGGCCTATGTGAGTGTGACTTCAAGAACAAGTAAGAATAACATTTTTATTCTATCTATCTATCTATCTATCTATCTATGATATATAGTTTAACTATTTTAATGTACAATTTAGTGGCATTGATTACTTCCACATCACCACTATTTCTAAAATATTTTTATCACCCCAAACTGGATCTGTGTACCCATTAGGTAGTAACTCCCCTTTTCCTACTCACCACTCCCCTCCCCCAGTCCCTGGTAACCTCTAATTACTTACTGCCTCCATGCATTTTCCTATTATAGATATCTCATATCAGAGAAATTGTACAATATAACTGGCCTTTTGTGCCTTGCTTATTTTAGCTAACATAATGCTTTCAAGGTTCTTCCATGCCATAGTATGTATCAAGACAAAGAGATGTAGGTCCTGGCCTGTGCTGAGATGGTAAGAGTCAAGGGGAAGGAAGAACAGGGTGCCCAGCTCCTCTCTGTTTGCTCCATTTGCACTTCTACACAGTCTGCATCCCAGAAACCCACATGGTCCTGGGGAAATGAGGTTGGTCACCCTGTGTGAGGGGGTCTTGGACAGTGACTGCTACACGAGGTGTCTCAAGGAGGTCACCTAGGCCAGGCCCCAACTCAGCATTGAAGTTAAGGCAAGCCCTCAGAGCCCTCCCTCCCTCAGCCCCAGGCCTGACCCAGGATGGGCCTCACTTCACTCTCTGCCTCCCTGCAGCTGCAGTTCCTCTCTTGATGCCTTTTATTGTCAACTTCACCATCACTAACCTGCGTTACACAGAGGACATGGGAAACCTGGGCTCTGAGATATTCAATACCACTGAAAGGCACCTGCAACAATTGGTGAGAGCCCCCCAACAATTCTAACTTCTTGCCAACCCTGCCACACCCTGTTGTCTTGGCCACTCCTGCTCATCTGCCTCTCATGCCTTCACAGCTGGGGCCCTTGTTCAGGAACAGCATCGGTTCCCTCTATGCTGGCTGCAGATTGACCTTGCTCAGGTAAGACCTCCTCTTCAGTACCTACAGAAAACCTACTCCTTTCCTTTCTTGGCCCTCTACACCCTGGTCAACCACAGTCCCTTGGGCCTTTGCGGAGAGGCATTGTAACACAGTGTATCAAAATGCCTGAGTTGGAACCCCAGTTCTTCATTTGATAGCTGTGTGACTTTGAGCAAGTCACATAACTTCTCTGTTCTTCAATAACACTATCTATAAAATGGTGATAATAACAGTGCCTTACTCTTGGAGTTGTTAATCCTTCATCCCGTTGCCTGCGTCATTGTGAACCCTCAATTAAACGGATCTTGTAGTACCAGCCAGTGTAGCATTTTTACCAAGTGCGTTCCCAGAGTCCCTGACACTCTCTCTGTCCCAGTTCATATCTACCCTATTGGAGAAAAGCTCTGGACACTAAAGCTCTACAGTTTATTCCCTGGAAAGAGATAAGGATTTCCCAAAGGAAGTCTTACTGAACAAAGGGAAAACCAAATCAAATGTTGAGTACCAGCAGGATATATTGTGATCTTAAAATTCTCAAATGGACCTGAACTCTGCAAAAATGGACTGTCTTCTTTTCTTTGCCTACATGCATACCTGGTGTCATCCGAAGTCAATGGGCTCAGGACCCTATCCTTACACTTAATGACCCTATGGCCTCTCTGTGGGCTACTCCATCCAGCCAACTCAAGTCATCCTGCCAGAGAGGTGGGGTTCTCTACCCACATCACTTGGTGAGGAGAGATTGCTGATGTATTATAGACCAGTGTCCTCTAATAAATTGAGCCCAGCACACCTGCCCCCATATCTCCATAATATGGGGAAATCAATAACAATAGTAATATTGCTCATAGTACATGCCATCCAATAAATGTAAGTGATTTACACTTTTTCATTCATTCATCCTCACAACAATATAAGTATTGTCTGGCCTCGCAGAGTAGTTGAGTTGCATACTTAGGGGAGCTAGGATTAGAACCTGGTGTTCTGGTTCTGGAGTTCCTGCTTTTAACCACAATATCAGCAGGCCTCGACCTCCCTGGCTCAACCATTTTCATTTTAAAAAAGAGCCTTTAGACTTAGGTTATATCTGCCCATTTTAACTGTGTAGAAATTAAAACAATTTATTCATTAAAATAATAAACCTATTATATGTTAATATAAATGACATATTTTTATAAACAACAACCATATCTCCCAACCCCCCCCCCCCAAAAAAGAAGCACAATGAGAAGAGGGCCATCATTTACATTTTTGCAAATCCTTTTAATATGTGACTTAGTAGAAGATACCAGGATATCTGTTTCTGCATTCTATTTTTTACAATATTTCATTATTTACTTGATGGACTCCCTGTAATAGTTTTGAGAACACCAGAGGTCCCTTGGCCCCACTTTGAGAACTGCTATGGGACACCATGTAGGTATAAAATGGGAATGTTTTGAATAGCATGGATCATAGCAAGCAGAATTTACAGGCAAGGGAGGAAGGCATTCTTTCTTTCTACCTGTACATCCCCTGCTTTGAGTGAAACATTTTAGGGTCAACTTAAATTCAGGACAAAGGTATTTTTTCACCAATCACCCCTGGTTTCTTCTTAACTTGTTTTCCTTCAAATTGGTTGCCTGCCTAAAATGTGTTCCTCAGCCTTGGGATTTACCAACTTAAAATAGAATACCCCTTCTCAGGCTCAGTGTCACAACCAGCCACAGGGGTGATCACTTACCTTCCCAAAGGTCTTTGGTTCTCTTACTTTTCCCTTCCACATGCTGACTGGCCCCAGGATCCTTAGGATTTTTTCCCCTGGAGTCCCACATCCCTAACCCAAGCAGGACTAATGTATTACTGGAGTGACACCATTTGTATTTACCTTCACGAATAGACAGGAAGTGTCCTGGCTGGTAGTTGAGACAATAAGCTTCAACCAATTAATAAAAAGATAATAGGGACAAGAAGAACATTATCTAGGGAGAAGCTGTAGGAACCTGTAGAACACTGCATTTAAGAAGGTGGGGGGGGGCGTGTCTGGATTCCCCCATGAAACAGAAAGAGATGTGTTTTAGAAAGCAGATGAAACTCAGGGAAGAGTGATGATGTAAAAACTAAGAGTGATCAAGAGTATTCACCTCTCATGTCTCGATTCCCATGTCCCTCCTTCCCCAGGGCTGAAAAGGAGGGAGCAAGCACGACAGTGGGTGCGATCTGCACCCACTATGCAGATCCCACAGGCTTCAGGCTGGACAGAGAACAGCTGTACTGGGAGCTAAGCCGGCAGACCCATGGTGTCACTCGGCTGGACCCCTACACCCTGGACAGCAATAGTCTCTTCGTCAGTGGTGAGTAGCTCTGCTGCAAAGGGATCTCCTCCTGCTCCCCAGATGGGGTCTCCTTGGAGTGCATTTCTCTGTACCCATGTTTCTCTCTACCCCTAGAATTTCCATGGGGCTCAGCTCTCTCCTTTCATAACACCTAAAAAGCACCTTTTAAGGTCAGGAAAAAAGTTTCCTTTAGTCTTCTTCATTCCAATGACCATTCACAGAAGCCCGAATGGAGCATGCAGACATCAAGGAAGGAAGAGGGTAAAGTAAGCCCATGGCAGTCAATACAAGAGCCAGTGGGTTCCCAGTGCAGTGACGAATCTGCTTCTTTTACTTCCCTATGGCAGCGGTGGTCTTTTACCCATTCTCCAAGGGCCAGCTGGAATTACACCCACCTGAGAAACAAGCAACAAAGCTGTTAGTAATGATTTAGCAATAAATTCCTGTGCATCTTGGCAACAACACCTACAGTAATACCTACAATAAAGGGTGATATTTATTGAGGGATTCCTATGATGCAGAATGTTATATGTATTATGTATGACTAACCCTGCCAACTTCTCTAAGTTATCATGTATATCTTGCAGAAGAGAAAACAGGCCTGTTGGGGAAATCCACTTTCCCAAGATCAGATAATTAATGTAGGTGGTAGTGTCAGAAATCAAACCCTAAATTAATTCTAAAATCTAGGCCCCTTAACTACTAGGCTACACTGCAGACCAACCCAGCAAAAACAAGCCTCAAACCTCAGGACAGGAAGGCATACCATGGAGCCTCACTATAACTATTTAAACTAAAGCTTGATTAATTGTAGCCCCATTATATCACTGTGGGTGTTTTCTTATTACCTAGATTAAAACTTATATTGGGTTTCATTAGTCCTTGGAGATTACTTAAAGGGAGTAGTTACCAGTGTAGGCTTTGGTGAATTACCGTCCTTGCTTTTATCAAGCCCTGGCCCTGCCTTTGACTTACTCTGTGACCCTGGGCAAGCCATGACCCCTCTAAGCTCCAGTGTCCATTTTTAGAATAGAAAAGTCACCTAAGCTGATTGCGATAAAACTTGAATAACCCAAGTAAATCACAAGGCTCCACTTGGCCCAGTCTCAGAGATAAGTTTCATTTCAAAAACCCAGTCAGTCCACCAAATATAAAAGAAATCAATTTTACTTGCACTATTTCCAGTGCATCAAAGAGGATCCATTCCATGATCCAGAAACGTACTTATTTAAATCCTCTTTTTCCCATTTCCTCTTTTTAAACTTTGTAGTCTCTGATTGACACCCAGTCTTTTCTCTCTCCACAAGCCCAGCTCTCTCCCTCTCCATCTCTCTCCTGTATTATCTCAATTCAATATTACAGAAGTCTAAGACTATATTGTCACAGATTGAGCTATCTTTGGAGAGTAGGATAGTGGGAGAAACTGAAAGAGTAAGGACAAAATTATAATTAATAGGTAAAGAAAACACAAATATGGAAACACTCATATAAAATTGTTGTCCCTATTATTCATTCTCTCCAGGGACAACAATTTTATAGGAGAGCATTATGCTAAGTGAAATAAGCCAGTCAATGAAGGAAAAATACCAATGACAATGAGAATGAAATTATCATTAGTATCAGGTATCATGCAGTTAACTCATAAAGAATACTGTTATTATAGAGCTGCCTCACACAGATTGTCAAACTGCAGCGGGAAGGCCGGGGAGGGTTGGGGGGCAGGAGGGAGGGGGGTAAGAGATCAATCGAAGGACTTGTATGCATGCATATGAGCATAACCAATGGACATAAGACACTGGGGGGTAGGGGAAGCCGGGGTACTGTCAAGGGCGGGAGAAAAAAAGGACACATATGTATTACCCTTTGTAATGCTTTAAGCAATAAAAAAAATAAAAATAAATTGCTTACCAATAAAAAAAAATAAAAAAATAAAATAAAATTGTTGTCCCTATTATTCATTTGATAAGGTTGCTATTATTCTAGGCACTTAGTAAACCCCCATAAGATTGGGGTTGCTGTCTTTCTGATTAATGACAATGAGAATGAAATTATCATTAGTATCAGGTATCATGCAGTTAACGCATAAAGAATACTGTTATTATATCTCAGAGAAAGCACTCAGGAAGGTTTCTATACTTACGTTTCTATTTCTACCCCTTACCCTATTCTTAACCTCCTCCCACCATAATACTCTCTCTCTCTTTGCTTCTCTGTAGGTTATAACCATCGATACTGGATCTCCACCACCAGCAGTGAGTAATGAGAGCCCGGATGTCCTATGTCTCTGGGACCCTTCCTCCCTAAACCTAGTTCCCAGGAAGAAAGTATCGCCCATCCCCTAGGTTGTCAACCTCAGAGTAGCTGCAGCACAGCAGAAGCCTCAGATTAAGCCAAGTTAGAGATGCAAGTTTCCATGAACAGCCCTACCCTTTCATTGCTTCATGATAGGGCTCAACAATTTTTATTCATAGTGTGTTTTCTTTCAGCTCCGGTGACCTCCACATTCTCTCCAGGACCCGCAGCATCTCTGAGCCCCACCCCCAGCTCTACAGGTAGCAATCTAACCTCTGAGTCCCATTAAACCTCAACTCTCATTCCGTGGCTGATGAATTCCGACATGCTCTGGACCATGATGCCCACCCAGTGCAACCTGTTCCCCTCTCTCCCTCGTGCCCTAATCTCCCGCCACAGCAGCCTCATTTTTTCCTCCAGGAACTCAGCTGTGCCTGGTTCCTCCTTGTCCTCCAAATCTCAGCCCAGCATGCTCTTGCTCAGACCGCCATTTCTTCGTGGAAATTCCTATGATTTGGATATCTGACTGCTCAAGTATTTTGGGCTGAGCGCAAAAGGTCTCGGCCCAGATGTCCCACCAAAATGTCCACAACTTTTCAGCCTTTGAACACTCTGGGATGAAAGGGTTGAGGTTCCCTTTTGAACTGATGTCATACATCTAGCATGGAGGTCCCTTCTCCCCCTTTGGCAGGCTGAAGAGGGAGGGCATCCCAAATAGGATATCTCAGGCCTCAACAACTGGACACTATGGTCCAAGAGATAATACTAGTACCTTCCTCCCATATATAGCTTAGCTTAAGCCTGTGATGGGTTTCCTCTCTTTCCCTCCTTCCACTGCAGATGTGGGCCCAGCCCCAGTGCCTTTCACCCTCAATTTCACCATCACCAACATGCTCTACACCCCAGACATGAGGCTCCCAGGCTCTGCGAAGTTCAACTCCACTGAGAGGGTTTTGAATCACCTGGTAAGAGCCCATCGATGCCTACCCTAGCCTTCCATGTTCTTGTCCCACCAGTCTCTTCAGGTTACCTTCATTTCCCTCCTCCCCAGCTTGGTCCTTTGTTCAAGAACACCAGCATTGGCCCACTGTATTCTGGCTGCCGACTGGCCCTGCTCAGGTATGACTTCCTTTCCTAACACATATGCAGGACATTGTCACAGGCAAGCTCACCTGGAGTGAATACCTGTACATGACAACTACAAAGCAAGAGTCATATGTGATTGGAAGGCATGCCCTCTGGCTGAGTGCAACAGAGAGAGTTTCCTGAAAGAGCTGTCAAAGATCTTCAGTTATTTGGATAAGCAGATCCACAGAGCATTCATGCTCATTGGTCAGAAAATGCAGCATTGACTCACTAAGCAAACATGAAATGAGATTCCTCAGGTAACACTCTGTAACAGAAGCTAAGGGCACTGAGAGAATCAGTCATGGGCCCTTTCCTCAAATCTCAGCTGCCATATAGACTTAAAGTCATCATATGAATGGGGTCAATACAATGATAAAGCACTACACAGGGGCCAGAGGAGCCTGGACAATGGATTTTTAGCTCAGCCTGGGGGAGTTGGGTGGAGGCTGTCTGAAGAAGGTGATTCCTGGGGTATGTTTTGACAGTCAAGTGTGCAGTAACTAGAAGAAATAGTGGCAAAGGTATTCCAAGGGGTGGTGTAGCTTAAGTCATGGGGTAGATGTGAAAAATATCCTAGTGTATGAGAGAAGTTCTGTGAAATTGGAGGGTAGAGTATGAGGAAATAGCAATTGAATAAAAGAAAAAATGGGAAGGAAGGAAGGAAGGAAGGGAGGAAGTAAGGGGAAGGGAAGGGAAGTAAGGTAGGAAGGAAGGAGAGAGAAAGGGAGGGAAAGGAACAGAGGAGGGGAGAGAGAGGGAAGAAAGGAAGGAAGGAAGTTGGTTGACTGGGGGACTGGCTGAGCAGATGGATGGGTACACAGGAGTATAGTTGCCTGAGTGGTGGGTAAATTGTGGGATGAGTTTCAAGAAGTGGATAACATCAAGAGTTCAGGTTGGAGCTGTGCTTAAAGGCATACTAAGGATTTTTTCATAGTATTTGGCACAGGAAAAGGCTGAGCATTAATGGTTCTGTATCCAAATGCATGAAGTCACATCCTGTTTCTATCACTAGCTCTGTGAGGTTTTAGAAGTTCTTTAACATCTATATGACTTTGTTTCCTCAACTATAAAGTGGGAATCATATCAGCATTGATCTCACAGAGGTGCTGAAAAGATAAAAAGAGACCAGACCTGGATATTGCTTGGATGGGGGGAAAAGGTGGTGGGGGTTCAGGAAGCCTCTCACATCTCTGGCTCTGGCATAGACATGGAAGCATGGGAGGAGGAGCAGGTTCTATGCTTTTAGGGGGGAAGATGATAAGCTTAATTTGAGATATTTGGAATCTAAGAGGCCTGAAGGACATCTCTGAAGCTGTTGATTACATGGCATAGAGCTCACGAGAGGTCTTGGTCAGTTAGAAGTAAATTAGACCATCTACACTAATAAAAGACAAAGACGCTAATTGACCATACCTTCGCTACACCCTAAGCCATGCCCACCAGCCAATCAAAGTGACTATATGCAAATTAACCCAACCAAGATGGAGGCCGGCAGCCACGGAGCTGGAGCAAGCAGGAGGCTTGGTTGCCCGGGCGATGGAGGAAGCCAAGCTTCCCGCCCACCCTGAGTCGGCTGTGGCCTCCGCTCATGGCAACAAAGTTTCAATTATAGAAGACAAATAAACCCCAGATACCTGCTTCTAGCCAGCCTCCACTGGGAGCTTGGGTGGCTGGGGGTTGTGGCCAGCCTTCAAACAGCCATCAGCCCCTCACCCAAGCTGGCCACACCCTCATGGGGTGAAGATCCCTGCTGGGGGGCTTAGCCAGCCTGCAAACGGCTCTCAGCCCCTCACCCAGACTGTCCAGGCACCCCAGCAGGACCCCCCACCCTGATGGGGCTGTGGCCAGCCTTCAAACGGCCCTCAGCCCCTCCCCCAGGATGGCCAGGCACACCAGTGGGGACCTCCACACTGAAGGGGCTGTGGCCAGCCTTCAAACAGTCATCAGCCCCTCACCCAGGCTGGCCAGGCACCCCAGGGGGAACCCCTATCCTGAAGGTTCTGTGGCCAGCCTGCAAACAGCCATCAGCCCCTCAACCAGGCTGTCCAGGCACTCCTATATAATAAAATGATAATATGAAAATTGACCCTAACAGCAGAACGACTGGGAATGACTGGTCACTATGACACACACTGACCACCAAGGGGCAGATGCTCAATGCAGGAGCTGCCCCCTGGTGGTTAGTGCGCTCCCATAGGGGGAGCTCTGCTCAGCCACAAGCCAGGCTGATGGCTGCCAGTACAGCGGTGGTGGTGGGAGCCTGTCTCGCCTCCTTAGCAGTGCTAATGATGTCCGACTGCAGCTTAGGCCTGCTCCCCACTGGCTTCCGGGCTGCCAGAGGGATGTCTGACTGCCAGCTTAGGCCCAATCCCCCAGGGAACAGGCCTAAGCCAGTAGGTGGTCATCCCCGAGGGGTCCCAGACTGTGAGAGGGCACAGACCGGGATGAGGGACGCCCCCGAGTGCACAAATTTTTGTGCACTGGGCCTCTAGTATGGTAATAAAACTGGTAGCTGAGATAATGACCCCAAATGAAAGGCAAAATAATAGAAGTTGACTGAGGATGAAGCCCTGAAAATCAGTCACTTTATGGAGTGGGAAGGTACCTAGATGAATAGCACCCATAAAAGAACATGTTTGGGAAACCAGTCAAGGCCCAGTAAAGAGGAATACCATAAAACTTGGGGCAGCAGGTCAATTTGAAGCAAAGAGTTGAATAAGATATATAACTCCACCGTGTCTCTGAATGTCCTATTTCCCTAACCCGACCACCCTAGGACTGAGAAAGATGGGGCATCAACTGGAGTGGACACGGTCTGCACGTACCATCCTAACCCCATAGGCCCTGGACTGGACATAGAAGAGTTGTACCAAGAGCTGAGTCAGCTGACCCATGGCGTCACCCTGCTGGACACCTACACCCTGGACAGAGACAGTCTCTATGTCAATGGTGAGTGTCTGTGCTGCAGCTGGAGTTGCCTGCAGTCCCCTGTCTCCCTATACCAGAAATTCTCAACTGGAAGCAGTTCTCGGGACATTTGGCAATGTCCAAAAACATTTTCATGTCATGACCGGAGTGTGCTAATAACATCCATTAGTTAGAGGCCAGGGTTGCTGCTAAAGATCCCACTATGCAAAAGGCAGCCTCCCACCATGAAACATGATCTAGATGAAAATGTCAACAATGTTGAGGTTGAGAAATTGCTGTACACAAATTCACAGTTCTGGTACAAGCCCAGCTTAACACACACCACAGGAAGTTGATTTTCTTTCCTTTTTCAATGCTGGAAGGAAATGTTTCCTTCTGTTGGAGCCCAGCAAGAGCATGCAGACTCTCAAGAGAGAAGTGGATGATGTAGGGTCCTGCAGTTAAGCCTTCCCCAGTGGGCAGCAGTGTCCAGTTCAGCTCTCGCTTTACCTTATTCTCTCCATCATGACAACTTATAGGCCAGAGAGAACGACACTCATGAAACTATTCATGAAACACCACACTTCTAATAGTGGCTAAATCTCACCAAAAGATTCTTATGTGCTAAGAACTGTGACAAGGTCTTTATTTACATACTAGCGGCCTGGTACACAAAATTCATGCACTCGGGGGTATGTGTTCCTCAGCCAGGCCTGTGCCCTCTCACAATTCGGGAGCCCCATGATCAATTGCCCCAAAGAGGTAGGCCCCGTCCACCTGCCACAGCTCGCCAGTTGGTGGCCTGGGCCTCCCTCTTTGGGGTGATCGTGGAGCCCCTTGATTGATCGATCACCCTGCCAGCCGGTAGCCTGGGCCTCCCTCTGCAGGATGATCATGGTGCGATGGCAGGGGGCTCCCAACCAATTGCATCACACCTGCCTTGGCTGGACTGGCGCCAGTGCATGTCATAGTGTGGTCATCCTGAAGGTCCTCCGGACAGTCATTCTGCTGTTCGGTCATTTGGTTGATTTGCATATTACACTTTTATTATTATAGATTCCCTATTCATCTTACCCTAAACCCTATACATTACAATGCTCATTTTTAGAGAGCCATCATGCATTCACACAGGAAGTCATTTGCCTGAGATCATCCAGCCATAATGCATTGGCAGAGTCAACACTTGAACCCAATATTGAGTCTAAACTCCAAAGTTTATCCACAAGGTGACCATTCAGACAAAGCCTCAAATCTCAGGACCAGAAGGAGTGTTAAATGAGCATGAGCTCAACAATCCAACCTAGTGTTTGACTAGTTATTTACCCTCTGTCAGCTTGGAATTCCTTTCATATATGGTTTGAAATACACATTTATATTAACAACAGCACATTGTGCTCTGTGTCCATAGCAGATTGAATCCAGGATTGGGACTGCCTTAAAGCAATGGGTAATAGTATGGGAATTGGTGGCAGATCTCTGTTTTGTGTGATGCTGAACAAGTCATGTAACCTCTCTAAGCACTAATGTCCCCTTAATAGAATAAACATACATACGAGGCAGGATTATTCTGAAAATTAAATTAGAGCATTCAGCAATAACCCAAGAAAATCCCAGGGCTCCTCTGGGTCCAGTCTTAACTCACATCTCTCACAGAGTATCAAAGGAGATGCAATTCATGACCCAGAGAAACACTCATGAAAATTCTCTTCCCCCTCCAATTCCTTTCATGCTCCCAAGTTTTACACCATCCACCTGACCTCCAAGTCTCCTTTTTTACTATTGCACTTCATCTCCAAATTTTCTCTAATATTCCCCAGCACATGTACTTTCCCTTTCCTCCATCTCACTACACTTTTACCTTCACATACCACTCTCTTAAGCTGCTGCAGTTTTCTCTATTATACATCACAAAAAGCCAGAAACTAAGCGAGAAAAATAAAATTATACTATTATAAAATATTGTGAAGAGAGAGAAGGTGACAGAAGAAGGATAAAATTATCTTAATGGATTGAGAGAACACAGATAAGGCTTGGAGCACAAACTTGGTCATTAATTTGCCCCATTACCCTTGTAATGTGTTCAGCATTATTTCTGGTGCATAGTGCATTCCCAATGAGTAGGAAGAGCCATTATTGTATTTTTATTTTGGTGATAATAATGGTAATGATGTTCATCATTATTTTCAAAGGACATAAAGGCACCAAAGGAAATTATTGCTCATTTATGAGTTTTAAAAAGTTATTAATGAATTAGAGGCTCGGTGCACAAAAATTTGTGCACTGGGGGGGGGGGGTGTCCCTCAGCCCGACCTGTGCCCTCTCACAGTCTGGGACCCCTCAGGAGATAACCACATGCTGGCTTAGGCCCGCTCCCTGGGTGGCAGATGGCAGGCCCGATCCCGCAGTGGGGCGGGCGGCGGATGGCGCTGCCCCGCCCCACCTGCAGTATGCAAATTTAACGGCCATCTTTTTTGGGTTAATTTGCATACTCTTCTGATTGGCTGATGGGTGTAGCAAAGGTACAGTCAATTAGCATCTTTGTCTTTTATTAGTGTAGATTTCATTTCTAGCTCCACCATCTACCTTTTCTTAAATCTTTACTCTTTTCTCCCTACCTGCAGGTTATAATTATCACAACTGGACACCTGCCACAAGCAGTGAGTATTTGAAACTGAAACTTCAGTGCCCAACAGACCCTTCTGCCCCAGAGTGCATTTCTCAGGAGAAAGCTACTACTGTCCCCTGCAAAGTTTCCAGCTTCAGCCTCATAGCAGCCCCTAGCCCACCCAAGGTCTTTCTCTGAGTCAAGATAGAAACCCAAATTCCAATGAACAGCTTCTGAATCACATTCCTTCAGAGTGGGGCTCAATTATTTTCTCCATGTTTTATATTTTTTCTCAGCTTCAGTGACTTCTACATTTTGTCAAGAATCTTTCATGTCTCTATTGCCCATTCTCAGTCTACAGGTTGGAACCTGCTCTCAGAGTTCTACAAAATGTTACCTCTGCATGGTCTGGTCCCTGTTTACCACCCTGCTTGTCCCCTCCCTCTTTCTATCACTCTGTAGGCTTTGGCCACATCAGACATTTGTCTGTTCTTCTAGTGTCCTAACCTTTGGCCTTTATACTAGCCTTTCCTGATGATCAGCTATTCCTGCCTCCTTATTGCCTTTCAGATCGCAGTTCCACTATCACCTTCTCTGAAAGACTTTCTCAGACGACCTTACATGAAGTAGCACTTCTCCTGAATACACACCTCGTTTCTCTGTCCTATCACCATGAGTATTTCTTTCATGAATTTACTACCTTTTGGTTTACTTAGTTTTTATGTATTTGTCACCCTGGAGCTAAGCAACTAATAGGCACTCACTTTATATTTATAGATTGAATGAATGGATGAAAGTAGCAAACTCTTTATACATCCACATCTGTGGATTTTCTTTGAACATACAGAAAATCATTCAGGATCTTAGTCATGAATTTGAATCTTGCCCTGTCTCCTTGTCTTGCCCAGATGTGGGTCTGAGAGCATCTGCGTTTCTTGCAACCTAATAGGGAGGCATGATTTTTGCCACGAAACCTGTATTACTTCTGCCCTTAGATTTATTTAAAAAATTAAGTCCCTGGTTCTGATACATGCTTATGTCATGACCTAGGCTGGGTATCCCTAACCCTTAATCCTGCTGTGTGAGTCTGAAGTTATGGGATACAAACTTGTGTCCTATAATTTGAATTTTGCCTTCAGACCTATATTTTGTAAATCACGAGACTGCAAATGTTGTACATGTTTTAAACAGATGCACACTTTTCATTTCCTCACTGCTCCACCCTGATCAACTCAACCATTTATGTAACATGCCTAGCTCTTGCAGACTTTAAAATATGTGACATGTGCTATAGATCAAATCATTCTATGACTGATGATGTCATTTTTTTCGTAATCATTCAAGATTTGTTCTTAATCATTGTTTTTCAGAAGTTTGGTTATGAGTATCTGGCACAGTTTTCTTTGAATTTATACTGTTTGGAATTTTCTAAGCTTCCAAATCTGAAAATGTAGGTTCTCAACAAAGTTTGGGAAATTTCAGCCACTATTTCTTCAATTACTTTCTGCACTAATCTCTTTCATTCTGGTCCTCCAATGAAATGATAGTGTCCCACAAGTCCCTGAGGCTCTGTTAATTTTTCAATCAATTTTTTTCTTCAGACTTGATAATTTCTAATAATATATTTTTAAAATCACCAGCCCTTTTCTCTGTCATCTCCATCCTGCCCATCAAGTGATTTTTTAAAATCTCAAGTACTGTATATTTCAGTTCTACAACATCCATTTGATTTTTTTTATAGTTTCCCTTCCTCTGCTGAGAACTTCTATCTTTACATTTATTTCAAGTGTTTACCTTTATCTCATGGAGCATAGTTCTAATAACTGCATTAAAGTCTGTACCTGCTAATTCCAACATCTGGGTCCTTGGAGTTTGCATCTGTTAATTGTCTTTCCCTCAAGCATTAGGTAGATATTTTTCTGTTGTTGTTGTTTTTAAGTCAAATTATTTTGGGTAATATCTTAGATGTTGTGAATTATGCTCGTGTATTCTCTGGGTCCTGTTATCGTCTTGGGATTGTTATTATTATTTTTGTTTGTTTTAGCCGGTAACAAGCTGTCTCCTCTCTGGCCCACAAGAGCCCTATTTCCTAGTTCTATTTTGTTAGAAATACGGGATTTCTATCTTAACTTTATCTACCTATGCCCTCACTCCTACACCCACAGCTCCATGACTGTGACCTGCCTTCAAAAATCTATTGGAGAAAAGAGTTTTCAAAAGAATAAAACTCTATTTGGGGGTGTATTATTGGTTTAAATTTTCTGATTGTGGTAAAATAGTTATAACATAAAATTTACTATTTTAAGTATACAGCTCAATAGTGTTAAGTATATTCACATTGTTGTGTAACTAATCTCCAAAATTTTTTAATCTTGCAAAACTGAAACTCTGTACCAATTAAAAAAAATCTTCATTTCCCTTTCCTCTCATCTCCTAGCAACTACCATTTACTTTCTGTCTCTCTGAATTTGACTACTCTAGGGATCTCATATAATACTGAATGTGGAATTATACAGTATTTGTCCTTTTGCTTATCCATGTGTTTGCGTGTGTCAAAAGTTTCTTCTTTTTAAGGGCTAAATATTCCATTGTATGAATATATCACATTTGTCTATTCACCCATTTGTTAATGGACACTTGGTTTGCTTCCACCCATTGGCTATTATAAACAAAGCTGCTATGAACATGTGAATACAAATGGAAAGGTATCTATTTTTGAGCCAAAAGGCATCATAGCTGTGCCATTTCTTTGTTTGTTGGACTTGGATAAAATTTACTTTCTCTGAGCCTCCGTGTCCCCCATATGTAAAATGGGACTGGTAACACCAACCTTTCGGATCTGTGATGTGGGTAAGCTGATATACTGCATGTAAAGTGCTCAATACAAAGGCTGGTACACAATTATTGCTCCACAGATTCTATTTGTAGAGGGTACAGTCGCCCAGCTCAGACCTCTGGCCTTTTGATTCTTCATACTGTAACCCCTAGGTGACCATACAGGTGTGTTTTTTTCCATACTAGGGCACTTTTGAGAAAGAAATAGGGGTTGAATTAATGTTTACACAAGAGCGACATGATTGTCCATGGAAAACTAGATGTGGACACTCCATCTACTAGTAAAATCCACTCTGCAAAGATGGTCAGTGAAGTTGAGGCAGGGGTCCCTTTCATGAGAGAAACAGCCTTGACCACTCAGCAGGTGCACATTCCCTCATGAAGTCAGAAGACTATGGGAGATTCTGCCCCAGGGGGCAGCAGACTGACTTTGCTTCTCTTCTTTCACCATAATATCTACCAATTGCTTCTCTTTTGGCACATTAGGCTGGAAAGAGTTGAGGTTCTTTTTCCAGCTAAAATTGTCCATCCAGTATAGAAGTGCCTCCCCCTAAGTTTGGCTGGATGCAAGGATCACATAGGTGGGGCATCTTAGGCCTGATTGGCTGGACACTGAGACCAAAGTGACAACCCTGGACCCACCCCTACAGCCATCCCAGCCAGAGATCATAATGAATCGCCATTCTTCCTTTCCCACTGCAGGTGTGAGCCCTTCTCTGGTGTCCTTCACCCTCAACTTCACCATCACCAGCCTGCGCTACACAGAGGGCATGGGGAGCCCGGGATCTGAGATATTCAACAACATGGAGAGAATCTTGAATCGCCTGGTGAGAGCCCCTCCAATGCCCTCTCTCCAATACCTACTTTTGTCCCGCCCAGCTCCTTGGCCCATCTGCTCATCTCCCTCTCTTTCATCCCCAGCTCAAACCATTGTTCCAGAACAGCAGTATTGGGCCCTTCTATTTTGGCTGCAGATTGACCTTGCTCAGGTGAGAAGTTCAGAGTAGGCAATGTGGGGGGCTGACCCTGAGCTGGATCCTGACGTTCTGCACCCACTATCCTAAGGAGAGCTGACCACCAGTTTCCACTCTGGCTCACATTGTTTCCCTGATCATAAAATGGGGAATCCTCGTACTCTTTCCTTCCCAGGTAGTAAGGTTAAACTTTTCAGAAAGATCTTTCTTCTGGAACTCGTTGAAAAATCAACTTATCAATCATGTCAGTTTCATCACAATAAAGCAGTGATTTTCAACCAGGAGTAATTTAGCTCCCAGGGGATATTTGACAATGTCATGAGAAAATTTTTGTTATCACAACTCAATGGCGGGTTTGCTACTTGTCTATAGTGAGGGAGGCCGGAGAGACTGCTAAATATCCCATAAGGCACAGGACAGTCTCCCCGGGCCAAGATTTATCTGACCCAAATGGTGCCACGTTGAGAAACCTTGTTCGAGAGTATGCATTTTGTCACATTTAGGCTAATAATTGGCCTATCTGAAATACCTAACAAACACTCCCTTTTCCTACCATCCCCCAGCAGTGACCAAATCCTGACCAATAAGAGGTGGACTTGGGATGTCTGCCACCCCCAGAGGGATCATTGAGCAATAAAGCATAGTTGTTATATAGTTTTATTTGACATCTACCACATCTATGTTCAAATCCTAGCTTCCTATTTCAAGGTTGTGTGACTCGGGCAAGTTACCTAATGTCTCTGTGCCTCAGCTGTCTCTTCTATCAATCGGAGTGTCTCAATCTGCTTTTCTGCATAAGAAATTTAGCTCACAGTTCTGCTGGATGGCCACTTGGGCTGGATTCTTCTGGGAGATTCTCCTGCCTGGGCTGGTTCAGCTAATCTCAAATGAATCTTATTCATTTCTGCAGTCTGCTGCTGCCTGGGACATCTCAGTTCTCCTCCACATTTTCTAGCTCCAGCAGGCTAGCTTGGGCTCATTACCATGCTCAGAGTTCCAAGAGCAGCAGGAAATGAGAAGCCCTAATGCACACCTGCTTTTCAAGCCTCTGCTCGTATCTCATTTGCTACTGTCCATTGGACAGTCCTGTGGCCAAGCTCAGATTCAAGGGATGTGGAAACAGACTTCACTTCTAATAAAAGGGAATAATTTGTGATCATTTGTGTGAGCACAGTAAAAATTAAAATGAAAGGTTCTTGATAAAAAAAACTTAATATATAGAGAACATGCAGTAAATTACTCACTGTCTTCCCTAGGACTAGGTACTAAGAATAACTCCAGCATGTGGGAACCCACCCTGTGTACTTGGGTCACCTTACCCCTTGTGTGACATCTCCCAACCACTGACCTTTTGTCTGAGGATGGAATCCACAGCTCTAAAGACACTCAACATTGTCCCTCAGCCATGATGCTATTATTTTACTTTTCTACTGGACCTGAGATTTTTCTGGCTCTGGGATACCACACAGCCTCATCCCCATCCCCAGCCTAGGCTGGTTGCTTGGTCTCGGTGTTACCTTTAAAATGCTCAATCATTGCAAAATCCATTCATACCAAGAACTCTGGCTCTTTTAATACTTAATAAAACTTGCTGCCTTTTATTACCTCATTTGACAGATAAAACAAGGAGCCACAGAGAGGTTGAGAGACTTACCCAGAGTCACCCAGAAATTAAGTAGCAGACCTAGGATTTAAGCAATCTGACATTGCCTTTTTCCACTTTATCCAATTCCCCGATGGCTTCCTTCTACCCTGTCTGTCATGCTTCTCTTGTTAAGATGTATATTGCCTTGTTATGATTATGATTTTAAAGTTTAGCACAAATATCAACATTTTGAGATGCTATATCCTCTCTGTTCAGAGACCTTGGCTGTCCAGTTTATTTCCGGCCCTCCCCCAGGACCAAGGCCATTTCAGGCAGCCCACCCTCCTGTTTCTCTGGGCCCTGACCTATAGTCCCCACCTCCCCGTCACTGTGTATCCTCCCTGCCAGGCCTGAAAAAAATGGAACAACCACTGGAATTGATACTGTCTGCACATACCGTTCTGACTATGTGGATCCTAAGCTGGACAGAGAGCAGCTGTACTGGGAGATGAGCCGTGGGACCCATGGTGTTACCCAGCTGGGCTCCTTCACACTGGACAAGGACAGCCTCTACATCAATGGTGAGCATCCTTTTTGTAACCATAAGTTGAAGCTGAGAATCTGCACCTACTCATCCTATGTGTGATCTTCTGCCTGAGCAATCTCCTTTGATGTCTGAAGGACCCCCATAGACCCTCCAGTTTGCAAATCCTTCTCTTTCCATGGCATCCATGCATTCCACAGAAGTGATCTGTATACTTGTCTGAGACACAAAACCTTTCTCCAGACAGATTAATGACAATATCCCTGTGGCTGAAGCTAATGGAGATTCAAGAGGCTGGCTATTTATCTGCCTCCCCGCCAATATCTCAGAATCCCCTCTAGACCCTGAGAAGCACAGTTGGCAAACAAATGCTCAAGAAATGTTGGTATAGTTATCTTCCCAAATAAATTGCAAGCCCACGAAGGCAGGGACTGGGTCTTTGATTTCTCAGCCCTTTAGGAACAAGGTATTGTTGCCCCTGAATCATTACTATTGAACGGTGTAGACTTGAAGTCTGAGTTTGGGGTAGGGGCTTGTGGTCCTCAGCCTGTATCTTGGACATCCCTCCCTTGCTTGTATCCTAGTACCATCTCCTTTTCTCATTTCAGGTTATACCCATCAGACCTCAGCCTCCACCCCCAGTGGTGAGTACTCAGGGCCCTGATGGCTAGGTGCTCCTGGCCCCCTATGGACAGTAACTGATTCCCCACCCCAGGGCCTTGGCAGGAGAGGAAGCCAGAGGACCCAGTTATCTCACTCACCTACTCTACATCAATGGCTTGGGCTGGACGGGAAAGCTGCACAGAGTCATCCATGCTACACTCAGGGCCCCCATTCTTACTCCAGACCATTTATCTTCAGCTACCGTGACCTCTACTCTCTTCCCAAGGACTTCGCTGGTACCAACCCACTTCTTCAGCTCCACAGGTAGGTGACTTCTCTTCCAGCTCCTTCTAGGAAGCCTCAAAGCTTGGACCCTGGAAGTGCAGAAAAAGGCTGCTATTTGGGGAACCTGGAGCTGCCATGGGCACCCTCTGCTCTGCTCTGAACTCCTCGAGAGCAGAGAATGTGAACTACTCATCTCTCCAGCTGTTGACCTTTGACAATTTACTTACCCTCTTGGTGCCTTAGTTTCCTTACCTGACAAGTGGGAATAATAATACTTCATAAGATCATTATGAAGGTTAAATGAAAATGTATATAACAATACCTAGCACTGGAATTACCAGAATATTTAGTTCAACAAATACTATTGGGCACGTGTTCTGTACTAGGTAGAGGGGATGATGTTAAGTCAGGTGTGGTCCTTCCCCTCACCCAGGTTACAGTGTATTGAGAGAGACTGAAATTAAACATACGGTAGCAATTGATAATAACTATGGAAGATAACCATGTTGTTCAGCACTCACTACATGCCAGGCCCTATACTATTCTTTTTATTTCTAACTTTCATTTTGATATAAATATAGTTTCACAGAAAGTTGCAAAAAAGTGCAGAGATTCCTATACTCTACCCAGTCTCTCCTCCATGATTAACATCTTACATAAACTAGATTTCAGTGTCAAAACCAGTAAGTAAATTGACATTATTAAGATCTACAGAACTCCAGTTTCAGGTTTCACTATTTACATGTACTTGTATGTATGTGTGTAGTTCTCTGCCATTTTAACACATATGTAGACTTTTGTAACCACCACCACAAGATACAGAACTGTCTCATCACCACAAAAATCCCCTTCGTGTTGCTCTAGGTCACACCCACCCAGTCCAACCCCTGGACTCTACTAATCTATAAACCGTGTCTGCAGTTTTGTTATTCTGAGAATGTTATATCAATTGAATTGTACAACATGCGACCTCTGGCAACTGCTTTTTTTCACTTAGCCATAATGCACTTGAAATGTTCTAACTCCCTTAACAATCATTTAACCTCCATAATTTTTGGACAAAGTATGATTCTCCTCATTTTACAGTTAAAGAAATGGAGATACAGACAGGTTGAGTAACAAAACCCTGGTCTCATGCTGATGAGGGGCTAAGAGGATTTGAAACCAACATAGAATTTACCATATCAATTATTTCTAAGTGCACTTTCACAATGTTGTGCCACCATTACCACTATCCCACTTCCAGGACTTTTCAACATTTCAAATGGAGACTTGGTCCCCATTAAACACTAACTTCCCATTCCCCACCCCCAGCCCATGGTAATCTCTATTCTACTCTCTGTCTCTATGAATTTGACTGTTCTAAGTACTTTACATAAGGGGAATTATACATTATGTGTCCTTTATATCTGGCTTGTTTCACTTAGCTTAACATTTTCAAGGTTTATCCATAGTGTACCATGTATCGGAATTTCATTCCTTTTTATAGCTGAATTCTATTCCATTCATCTGTTGATAGACACAGGTTGTTTCCACCTTTTGACTGTTGTTTTCAATAGCTATGAACATTTGTGTTCAAGTGTCTGAGTCCCTGTTTTCAATTCTTTTGGGTATATACCTAGAGTGAAATTGCTGGGTAATATGGTAATCCTGTGTTTAACTTTCTGAGGAACTGATTTCCATACAGCTCTACTAGCATTCCCACCAACAATGCATGAGGGTTCCAATTTCTGTACATTCTCAGCAACACTTGTTATTTTCCTTAAAAAAATAGCCATTCTAATGGATGTGCATGTTACTCTATCTAACAGCATCTTGCTTTGCTCTTTATATAGCTTTCTGTCTTTGTGTCCTAAGGTAGTTTACCTGCCTGCTTTAAACCACTGCTTGCTCAGATCTGGACTTTTCATCTCGGTCCCCAGAAGTTCCCTGAGAGCCCAGCCCATGTCTGACTCAGGCATGGCCTCCTTTTTCCTTCCCTCTGCCATAGCAGCTGTTTCTTTCCTGGTGCCATTCACCCTCAACTTCACCATCACCAACCTGCACTACGAGGAGGACATGCAGCACCCGGGCTCCAGGAAATTCAACACCACAGAGAGGATCCTGCAGGGTCTGGTGAGACCCTGCCCACTGATGCCAGCTCTGCCCACTTTACCCCTGCCCTACCCAGTAGTGTCAGCCCCATCCACCCACTTATGCCCCCACCTCACCATCTCTACCCTGTTCACCTCACCAATATCCCAGCTCCTCCTGGCCTCCCTCAGTGGTTCCTTCTCACCTCCCCTCTCCTCTCTTATAGCTCAAATCTGTGTTCAAGAATAGCAGTCTGAGATTACTCTATGCAGGTTGCAGACTAGCCTCGCTCAGGTGAGACGCTGCCTCCCAAGAACACAGCCCACCTGGGGTATGGGACCCTAATTTATGGACTCCATGACTTTGTCTATATTTGGTACAACTACTGCCCATGGATACTAAGCATCGAAAATACCTAGAACAGCAATAAAAGCATCTAAAAATTACTAAAACCCAGGCACTGTGGTGTTACTTTATATGTAATCTCATCAGTCCTTGAAACAACCTCATGAAGCAGGAGCAGAAGGTGAAACTGAGGCTCAGAGGGATTACGGAACGTGTGCTGTTTCACAGAGAAATCCCAGCATTTGGGGTTGTAGTCCCAAACACCTAGCCCTTAAGCAGCCCTGTCTCCTCTGCCCACATTATGACCTTGTAGGTTGTGGAAAATACCAATCTGAGAACCTTTCTAAAGGACTGGCCCAGAGGATCTAAGAGGGGAAGAAAAGCTAGTATTAGAGAAAGTATGCTCCTAAATAGGTCAGACTCAGCTGAAGGGAGCCTTCCCTGCCCATGGATGGCTGGGGGTTGCGGTGGACACAATCCCCTAAAAGGCCTAAAAAGGGCATCTGGACATTCCAAGACTGTGGTGGAAATGGGTCAACACTGGTATAATATCTAATATACATTATCAAAATCATAATCTGTATTAGTGTATATATGTATATACATTACATACTAGGTATATATATATATAACAGGCATAATGTATAATTTACAATAATAAAATATAAGTAAACATCATTATATATGTTAAACATATTTATTTATGTTATATATAACATATACTATAATGGGTGTAATAAAAATTGTGGGGCTCTGTCACACACCTATTACTTTCACAGGCTTCTCTCCCAGGCCTTCAAGAGGCTTGGAGCCCCGTAGTTTTCTAGTTATTCCTTTATGGAGGTTATCTTCCTGAAGGCAGCAGATTCCTTATTAACTAGAGTTTCCCAAGTTGCTGTCTTAGAGGCTGGCAAAAAGAGGGAGGGAAGGATGAATGGTGGAGAGAGAGTTGGACCAACAATGTGGAGGTTCTCACCCAGCTCTGAGAAGGAGGGGACAGCCACCAGAGTGGATTTCATCTGCACTCATCGCCCTGACCCTGACGGTCCTGGACTAGACAGAGAGCAGCTGTACTGGGAGCTGAGACAGCTGACCCATGGCATCAGCATGCTGAGACCCTACACGCTGGACAGGGACAGTCTCTATGTCAATGGTGAGCAGCTGCAATATGATCTCTTCCTCTTCACTAGTAGCCTCTGCCCTCTGACTTGAGATCACACTTCCTGAATGGCCTCTAGGGTCTTAGCCAAGTGCACTGAATGATTTGAACTCATGGTTTCTTCTTCATCTTAGACTGACTTCACCCTCAGGGTCTTCTTTTCTGATGTGAGGGTGCTGTTGGAGGACCCCCAACAGCCTCTACTCCATGAAACCCCCTCCTTTTCACTGACCCATATTTGGTCCCCCACCTCTCCCTGAACCTTTACCCACTAGCCTCCCTTGCTCTTGCTACAGGTTTCACCCATCAGAGCTCCACACTCATCACCAGCAGTGAGTATACAACTGGTGTTCCAAGGCCCCCAACACCAGGCAGGGACGGAGCTGAGCCCTTCTCATGCCCACGTATGTCCTTTCCAGGAGGGAGGAGTTCCCGGGAGGGCACACATTACTTACTGTCCCCACTTCCCCAGCTCTAGAAGGAATCCCAGCTTAAGCCCCACATGCAGTAAGCCCAATAAATAATACCTCCTGCTGGCGTTTCTGCCATGTGAGTGCCTTTCTGCTTTCACTGACAAGGGCTTTTCTGCAGCTCCTGGGACATCCACAGTTGAGCAAGAGAACTTTGGGACTCCACCTTCATTCTCCAGCCCCACAGGTAAGTACCAGTTATTGGCACATCTGTTAGAGACTGCTTGATGATTGTAAACATCTCTGACATTATTCACTCAAAGATGGAAAGTCATAGTAAATCTAGTAATAATTAGTCAACAAACTTTATTGAGCACCTACACTATGCTGGAGTGGGAATACAGAAGGGAATATGAAATTTTTAAAAATCTCTCCCTTATAGATTTCATATTCTTTTGATATAAGAATATATATTATGCCCTAACTGATTTGGCTCAGTGGATAGAGCATCGACCTGCGGACTGAAAGGTCCTAGGTTCGATTCTGGTCAAGGGCATGTACCTTGGTTGCAGGCACATTTCCAGTAGGAGGTGTGCAGGAGGCAGCTGATCGATGTTTCTCTCTCATCGATGTTTCTAACTCTCTATCCCTCTCCTTTCCTCTCTGTAAAAAAAAAAAAAAGAATATATATTATTATTATGATAGTGATGGTGATTATAGTAATGACTAGAGGTCCATTGCAGGAAGATTCCTGCAAGCATAGGGCTTCCTCAGGCCTATTCCTGCAAGAATCGGGCTTCCTGAGGCCGGAGCGAAGCAGTGGAGAAGGGAGTGAAGCCCGCCACTGCTGTCCCGCCTGGCCGCCCTGGGTCGCACATGGGAGGCCCGGATGGCGCAGGGCAGGCGGCGGATGGCGCTGTCCTGCCCTGCCTGCAGTATGCAAATTAACGGCCATCTTTGTTGGGTTAATTTGCATACTCTTCTGATTGGCTGGCTGATGGGCGTAGCGAAGGTACAGTCCATTAGCATCTTTGTCTTTTATTAGTGTAGATGGTGATGGTAGTGGTGGTGATGATAATGATGAGATGGTGGTAATGATAATAACAGTGATGGTGACAATGATGTTGATGATAGTGACAATAATGGTGATGGTGATGATAAAGATGGTGACAGTGATGATGGTGATGATCAAAAGATAACAGATAATATCTGACATTACTGAGTATTGAATACGAACAAAGTGCTATGTTCAGAATCTAGTATTATTTAATATCCTTTTAACAACTTTCTATCATTATAGGCAAGAAAGGCATGGGAACCTTTTATTTATCACTCTAAATCCTGTTGCTTAGTTTTAAAAGTAAATATATTATACACTCTTGTGTGTAATATGTATTTGAACATTATGTTTATTTCTGTTGACTTCAGTATTAAGCAAACCTGCTGTATTGAGCAACTGTGTCTTCTTCCTTTGTGCTCCTTAGTATCCACTGTAGTGACTTGCTCATGGTAGGTCTATAGGAAATATGTGGCTCTCCCAGGAAACAAAGGAATGAAGTATGATGTATAGAAATCCTCCTTTCCTTCCCATTCTAAACTTTAATGACTGTCTGATTCTACCCAGTACAAATGTATGGCATCTGTGTCAGCACTCCCTACTCCCTCATCCATGGCAGACATTACTAAATGATAATAGCACCCATTCTTTCTGAGCTCAAGACAGCCTCAGAATCCTTACAACAAAACACCCAGGAAGTTGCTGCCATGTCAGTTGGAGTTGTCTTGGGATTCTAGGATAAAATTCAAGGAAATTAAGTCCCTATCAGTGGTTCTCAACTTTCTGGCCCTTTAAATACAGTTCCTCATGTTGTGATCCAACCATAAAATTATTTTCGTTGCAGTCATGGGCACCCCCTCCCTTTTATGTCCAAGCTGATGGGGTCCCCGGAGCTGGCAGGGGTTGTGTTCCATGACCCTTTTCCCCACATCTGGTCCAACGCTGACTTAGAACATGCCTTCTCCTTCCCCTCTCCACTGCAGCTGCTGGCCCTGCCCTCATGTCCTTCACTCTCAACTTTACCATCACCAACCTGAACTACACAGAGGACATGCAGCCAGGCTCTGCGAAGTTCAACTCCACAGAGTCAATTCTACAATATCTGGTGAGAGCCCCCCGCTACCCACTTTTCTTTCTAATTTCCACTCCACCCCTCCTTGCTACAATTTCAGAGGATATAGAGGGCTAGGGAGGCAGGCAGTTCCAGGTTCAAAACTTGGAACTGCCACAGACAAGTGATGTGACTTTGGAGTAGTGATTAGTCTTTGTGGTATTGTTTCCACATCTGTGAAACTGAGACAGCAAATCATTTATCACAAAGGGTCCTTTTGAGAATTAAATGTGGTATGAGAAGATTAGGGAACTGTTGTGTGTTTTTTTAAAACATTGTGCTTTAAATGATGATTAGTTTTATTTTTATTTTTTATTCATCTACTCCTTCCTTCTCAGCTTGAGCCCTTGTTCACCAACAGCAGCATTGGCTCACTCTACACTGGCTGCAGACTGACCACACTAAGGTGAGACCTCATCTTTGTCTTGCCTTCATAGGTGGGGTAAGGTGTGGGCTAGTTGGGCTGGCTAGGGCCTTAGTAAGCTCAGTCTATCAGTGGTTCTCAACCTTCCTAATGCCGCGACCCTTTAATACAGTTCCTCATGTTGTGGTGACCCCCAACCATAAAATTATTTTCGTTGCTACTTCATAACTGTAATTTTGCTACTGTTATGAATCTTAATGTAAATATCTGATATGCAGGATGTATTTTCAGGAGTCACGACCCACAGGTTGAGAACCGCTGGTAGACTGAGCTATGGGAAGTGAGGTGCCTCGAGCACAAAATTTAAGGAGATGCTCACCTTCAGGTACTAACCCTATGCTTCCACAACCCTGAGAGTTAGCATGTCCTTATATCTTGTATCTGGATGCTTTGCTTACCTCACCCTATTCCCAGCCCTAGTGCTAGTGTTGTGCCCTGCTCACTCTAGGCCAGTGGTCAGCAAACTCATTAGTCAACAGAGCCAAATATCAACAGTACAACGATTGAAATTTCTTTTGAGGGCCAAATTTTTTAAACTTAAACTATATAGGTAGGTACATTGTTATTAATTTAATTAGGGTACTCCTAAGCTGGCCTTTGCTAAAAAGGTCCTCAATCTGAGGGTTCGACCTCAGTGAACGTACCCCCACTTCTTCTAACGCCACTTCTTCAAAATAGACTCGCACAGGCTGAAAACCGACTTCTGCGCATGGGCCACGAAGTTTCAATCGCACTGTAAGTGCACGCCCACACGTGATATTTTGTGGAAGAGCCACACTCGGAGCCAAAGAGCCGCATGTGGCTCGCGAGCCGTGGTTTGCCGACCACTGCTCTAGGCCATCCAATCAGACAGTCAGCTTTGCAAGATCTGAATGGGACAGACACAACTACAGTTTTAGTTAGAAGGATGTGGACAGGAAACAGCAGGGTGGCACTGGACATTTATGTTTTGCAAGAAAGCTCTCGGCAGTTGAAGGGTTATTATTTTGGCATTCCAGGTAACAGTCCATGTGCAAAGAAATGAAACCTCAATGAATAGGTGCTGGAGCCACCCTAGCTCAGATGTCCCATGCCCCAAAGGGAAATTAATCTATTGTTAACAGTTCTGCCCAGTTAACAGGGCCACCCCACTCTCCCAACCCAAACCTATAGCTTCCTGCTGGTTAAAAGTGTCCATTTAATGTACTCCCAGAAAAGATGCAGGTCAAATCAGCACCAACAGGCAATGAAACTGACACTGCACCTTTGTCAAGTAGGAGACCAGAGCTAGAAGCAGCTTAGTTCCAGGTAGCTTCCATCCTGCTGAGGTACAAGGGACACTGCCTCCCCCCACACTCCCCTGCCCCCTTTATGCTCTCTCTGCTAGTGCAATCTGCAGGGTCTCCCAGGTTATCCCTTCAGGCTAAGTTTTCCCTGCTGCCTCAGAGAGTTGGTAATGCAAGAGGCAGGTGGGCAGTGGTAGGAGTCTGCTATGCAGTGTCTCATGCTCAGATGCTCACATCTACAACTTGGCCTGGATCAATTTTCCAGGAGCTGAGGAGTCTTTTATTCAGAGCTACTCTCCACTTTCCTTAGGGAACTATGGGTGCTTTGTAAATATTTGTTTAATTAAACAATTAATTATTAGCACTTCTAATATACTTGGCAGGAGGGCTGGGTATTTTATATCAAACATTTCTGAATCCCATGATGTTGCACCAAAGTGGTTACAGCACACTCCATGCTGCAAAGATGGGAGAACTGAGTCAGAGAAGCCATGTGGATTATTCAACAAGTGACAGCACTAAGGTTGAATTGATGGGTGTCTGATTCTAAAACATCCACTCTAGCCCTAGATGGTAGTTCAGTGGTTAGAACTTTGGCCCTCAAACTGAAGGATCCCAGGTTCGATTCAAGTCAAGAGCACATACCACTGTTGCATGTTCAATCCCCGGCCCCAATTGAGGTATGTGTGAGAGGCAACCAATCAATGTGTCTCTCTCACATCAGTGGTTTTCTCTCTCTGTCTCTCCCCCTCCCTTCCACTCACTCTAAAAATCAATGGGAAAAAATGTTCTTGGGTGAGGATTAAAATAAAATAAAGTCAATCCCCACTCGGTACTTTGTGGCTCAAAGATGCCCCTTGTCTTGTGAGTGCTCTTGCCTGGACCAGGAGAGCAGATAAGCAGGCATCCACATACAAGGGGGCTGAGGAAAGATGTCCTGCCAAGATGTCTCAGTCCTGTTTCCATATCTATGTCCTTCTCTCCCCAGGCCTGAAAAGGGTGAAACAGCCACTGGAGTTGATGCCATTTGTACCTATCATCCTGAACCTGCAGGCCCCGTGCTGGACAGGGAGCAGCTCTACTGGGAGCTGAGCCACCAGACCCATGGTGTCACCAGGCTTGATCCCTACCTCCTAGATAGGGATCATCTCTATGTCAACGGTGAGCCTCTGGTGGTAAAAATGTCCTATGTAGCACCAGTTGGATTCTTTCGTTGCTGCTCTGAGCTCTGACCAGAGGATACACTCATGCCTGCTTCTAGATTTCTCTCTCCTCACTCTTCCACTCCTTGTGAGGTCCCTGTTCTCCACCATATGTGTATACGCCACACACAGAGAGTGATGGGAAGTCACAGAAAGCTTATAGGAGGCACAAGTCACCGTCTGTAGGGGCACAGCCTCTTGATGGCATCTACTCTTCTCTTACACCTGTGGTCCAACCCCTTGACCCCTTTCTTAATAACCTTTGAAAACATCCCATCTCACTCTTACCCATTCTGCAGGTTACACCAGACCAGTCTTGACATCCATCCCCAGTGGTAAGTGTCCAAACCTTAGAAGGCCCTATGACCCCACAGTGATTGGTGGGTGTAGCTGGTTCCTCCTCCCTATGGCTAAGGCCTCAGTGTGGTGAAAGGAAGCCTTAGAGTCCTTATTATGGCCACCCCCTCCCAACTTCAACTCAGTTTGGGCATCAAGGCCAAATTGTCTCTGGCATCTCCAAGGTGAAACTGCATTATTCTTATTTCTACCTCAGTGTCTATGACTTCTACACCCTCCTTGAGAAACTCATTGGCTCCAATCTCCTTCTTCAGTTCTACAGGTAAGAGCGTTCTCTCTATGTTCACTGCTTTCTAAGCTGCATGCCTCTGTGCTTAACAATGAGAAGTCAAGACAGTATACATGGGCAGATCAAGGCAAGGGGACAGTGTGAGAAGGATAAAATCTAGAGCCTGAGCTTCTGCCCTAAAATAGCTGTGTGGCCTTGGGGAAGTGCCTTAATCTTTCTGACACTCATTTTCATCTCTTTCAGTTGGGGGGCAGGGGGAGGGGGTGGGAGGTAAGTAACAGGATGTGCCTCCAAGGTTTGTGTGAGGATTACATGAGATACCAGACAGAAAGTGCTAACACAGGGTATAATGGAGCATAGAGTAAGCCTTTACCAAACATCAGCTGTTATTGCTGTTATTTTTGTTGTCATTATTATTATTACTAGAGGCCCAGTGCACGAAATTTGTGCACGGGTTGGGGGTCCCTCAGCCAGGTCTGCATCCTCTCCAATCCGGGACATCCCTCTCGCAATCTGGGTCCGCTGGCTCCTAACCGCTAGCCTGCCTGCCTGATTGTTCCTAACCACTCTGCCTACCTGCCTGATCACCCCTAACCGCCTCTGCCTACATGCCTGATAGCCTCTAACCACCTCTGCCCCCAGCCTGATCACCCCCAATTGCCCTCCCCTGCTGGCTAGTCGCCCCTAACTGCCCTCCCCTGCTGGTCTGGTCGTGCCTAACTGCTCTCCCCCTGCCTGCCTGATCACCCCTAACCGCCTCTGCCTCGCCCCCCACCACTGTGGCTTTGTCCAGAAGGACGTCTGGGTGGATGTCCAAAAGACATCCAGTCTAATTAGCATATTACCCTTTTATTAGTGTAGATTACTATTATTAATGTTGTTCAAAATAAAACTTTCCTATTCTGGGGAGAAACAGTCTGAGCTTTTGCAGCAGATGTGAATACCAGACTGATTCCACCCCTCTGCCCCTGACCCCTAAATTTAGTACAGGCAGTGATTCAGGGTGTGATATCTTCCCTCTCAACTTTACTGCAGTCTCTGTCCTTGCCCTGGTGCCATTCACCCTTAACTTCACCATAACAAACCTGCACTACATGAATGACATGCAACATCCGAGCTCAGTAAAGTTCAACAAAATAGAAAAGATCCTGCAGCAACTGGTAAGGCTCCTCCTGCCCACCTCATTCCTACACTGCCCACTGATGGCCACCATGCCCACTGTTATCAGTCCCCCACCTCTCCTGTGTTTCATTCATCTCTTCCTGCCTTCCAACTGATGCCAGCCCTGCTCATCTCATCCCAGCCCTGCCCCTGCCCTTCCCTATCAGTCCTTCTACTCACCTCTTTCTCCTCCCTCAACAGCTCAGACCCTTGTTTAAGAACACCAGTATCAGCCTCCTCTATTCCAGCTGTAGACTCACCTTGCTCAGGTAAGACCACCAGAGATGTCCCAGTGAGGCACAGTGGAGATTTTACCCACAGTCCTCTAGGGCTGGGTCCTCCCTTTTATCTCAGCCTTTTCCAGCTCCCCACCTGAAACAGCCACTATCCCTCCAGTTCTGGCCCCTGGTCCCTGCCCTGGACCTTTCCATCCTCAAGAGTCTCTAATCTCACACGCAATATTTAATAGGAGCAAAACAAAACATAATAACCTGAAAGTATGCACCAAATTCTTTTATAAGGATGCATCCCTGATCCTTCACAAAGAATAAACCCACAGCCTACCATTCCCCCAACCCACACTGCATATGTTCATTTTTTATTTGAATTCATTGGGGTGACATGGGTTAATAACCAAACTTATATAAATTTCAAGTGTGATAATTCTGTAATACTCATGTATATTGCATTGTTTGCTCACCAGCCAAAGTTTAGTCCTCTTCCATCAGTATATATTTGACCCCTTTACCCTCTTCAAGCTCCCCTCAACCTCTCCTGTTGTCTGCATCTATGACTTCGTTGGTTTTGTTAGTTCATTTGTTGCTTTCTGTTTTCTATCCCACATATGAGTGAAATCATAAGCTTCTTATTTTTTCCATTGATTTATTTCACTTAGCATGATACTTTCAATAGCCATTCATGCTGTCATCAAATCTGTATATTTCATCCTTTCTTGTGGCTGAGTAGTATTCCATGGCATATAGCTACCACATATTTTTTACCTAATCACCCATCGAAGGATATTTAGGTTATTTCCATGTCTTGGCTTCGTGAATAATGCTGCAATTAACATAGGGGTGCACATATATTTTTAAATAAATGTTTTCAAAAAATTTCAAGTAGATATCCAGAAGACAGGTTCTTGAATCATGTGGTAATTCTATGCTTAATTTTTGGAGGAAAGTCCATACTGTTTTCCATAGTGGCTATACCAGTTTACATTCCTACCTACAGTGAATGAGGGTTCCTTTTTCTCCACATCCTGTCCAATACTTGTTATTTCTTGTCTTGTTGATAATAGCCATTCTAACAGGGGTAAAATGGTATCCTATTCTAGTTTTGATTTGCATTTTCTTTATAGCTAGTGAAGTTGAGATCTTTTCATATGTGTGTAAATGGCCATTTGTATGTCTTCTTGGGAAAAGTGTCTGTTCAGGTCCTCTGCCCATTTTTTAATTGGATTGTTTGTTCTTTGTTGTTGAGTTGTATGAATTGTTTATATGTTTCGGATATTAGCCCCTTATCAGAGGTATTGTTTGCAAATATCTTCTCTCATTTTAGCCTTTTTGTTTTGTTGATGGTTTCTTTTGCTGTGCAGAAGCTTTTTAGTTTGATGCAGTCCCATTCATTTATTTTTACTTTTACTTCCCTTGATTTTGGGAACAAAGTCACAGAAGCTTCTCTGAGACCAAAATTCATAAGTTTAGTACCTATGTTTCTTTTTTATTTATTTTATTGATACCAGTCTTATTTTAGGCCTGTGATCCATTTTGATTTAATTTTTGTGTATGGTGTCCAATAACAGTCTAGTTTCATCCTTTGGCATGTGGCTTTCCAATTTTCCCAACATTATTTACTAAAGAGGCTTTTTTTCCTCCATTATATGTTTTTGATTCTTTGTAGAAAATTAGTTGCCCATATATGTGTGAGTTTATTTCTGGGCTGTCAATTCTGTTCCATTTGTATGCGTGTCGGTTTTTCTGCCAAAACCATATTGTTTTGATTATTGTAACTCTGTAGTATAATTTGAAGTGAGAGAGTATGCTACTTCTGACCTTGTTCTTATTTTCTCAGGATTGCTTTGGCTATCCAGGTTTTTTCATGTGTGGTTCCATACAAATTTGATGAATTATTTGTTATACTTCTCTGAAAAGTGCCATTGGGATTTTGATGGGGATTGCATTAAACCTGTATATTGCTTTAAGTAATATGGCTATTTTAATGATGTTGAGTCTTTTAATTCATGATTGTCTTTTTGTCTTCCTCAATTTTTTTTTAACAAAATGTCTTGTAGTTTTCAGTGTATAGGTCCTTCACACTTTTTGTTCAGTTTATTCCAAGGTATTTTACTCTTTTTGTTGTAATTGCAAATGGAATTGGTGGTGGTGGGGGGGATATTTATTTTTTCTGAAATTTTATTATTAGTCTATAGGAATGCAGTAGATTTTTGTACATCAATTTCATATTCTGAAACTTTGTTATATTTGTTGTTCTAATCACTTTTTTGGTGGATTCTTGCAGATGGATCCTCATTGTCTCTGCCTCTGTGTCCCTACCTCCATAGGCCTGAAAGAGATGGAGCAGCCACCAGTGTGGACACAGCTTGCAACTACCGTCCTGACCCTGCAGGCCCCGGGCTGGACAGAAAGCAGCTGTACAGGGAGCTGAGCCAGCTGACCCAAGGTGTCACCAAGTTGGGTCCCTACACCCTGGACCAGGACAGTCTCTATGTCAATGGTGAGCAGTGGCCACCTTTCCCTTGTGTATTGCTGAGCCCTCATTCTCCCCCTGCATGCCTTTTTTATTCCTTCCCTACACACAGCAGCTTCTGCCTCTCTTGCTCTCTCTCTCTCTGCAGGTTACACACACCAGACTTCAGAAACCACCCCCCATCGTGAGTACTGATGAGTAGCCTTTAGAAGCCCCTCTACCCTACCAGGAAAGGAAGCGACAGACCCCTGCCCACATCTCCAGCTCTCAGGGAGGGGAAGGGTTGGGGGACACAGGCTGGGGAGCCATTGCAATACCACACAGCTGTGAATCACTTTTGTGTTGTCACCTGAACACAGAGAAATGGCCACTAAATGTTGGTTGGGTGGATGGATGGAGGAGAACAAGTTAGCAACTGATTTGAAATAAATAATAAGTTT